GATGACCGCACTACCTCAAGGGCATCCACGGTAGATTTACCTTTAACAAATCCGTATTGATGGGAATGAAAGCCTGTATTCGGACATGTGTATAAAATTTGTAGTATAAATTTTTCCGATAATTTTGCGCATGATGTTAGGGAAATCGGACGATAATCGCCTTTATTCCCTGGTTTGGGAATCAGGACGACTCTCGTGATTCTCCATTCCGGTGGGACGTGGCCATATTGTAATATTTGTGTAAATAGGTTTTTAAATAGGTTAGGAAAAATTTTATTTACGTACTTTATCATTTTATTGGTTATTAGGTCCGGTCCGGGAGCCTTCTTATCAGGAAGAGTCTTTATGATTAAAGTTAAATCAATATTTTCAAGAAATGAAAACTTGTTATCTGTATCGAAATTAGAGTCCGGAAAAACAAATTTGTTAATTATATTATCTGCTTCCTGGTTACTGTTGTTTATATCATGAGAAAAATCCGGTAACCTATCTAAGTTGTGATTCGTTGGGAAAACTTATTTATAGTATTATCAACAATCTTTACGTCTTCATTAAAAGGATCCTTGTTCTTCTTTCTAGAATAATTTTTAATTAACACCTTATAGGGTTTGCCCCAGGGGTCCTCTTCTAAGGTTAAAAGGAATTCATTCCATACTCTTTCCTTGTTTTTAATAATACATATTCTAAGCATTTTTCTTTTTTCTTTGTATACATTTTTTAATAACGAAATTTCCGGAGTGTTTTTGGTCCTGGCTCTGGTGAGCTTACGTCTGGAAAAAAAGAAAAAAAAAGCGACTCTTCTGCGGCTTTCTTCAAAGCCTCGTATGATGAAAATGTAGAAGAGGGAAAGGTGTCTCTTGATGTCTGTAGTTTTTCCTTCAGTGTTGTAGTGAACGTAAGTATATCCCATTTGTTATAATTTCTAAACGTTCTATGTTTTTGCGTCGATGAAATTTCAGCAATGTCAACCAGCAAGAGGTAATGGTCTGAAGCCGTGTACTCCTGTAGAATTTCACCCGTAACGAGATAATTATGAGGCTCCAGTTTCCAAAGGCGAAATCGATATTAGATTTGAACCTTCCTCTTACGAAGGTATGCTTACCTTTCGGATTTATAACTGATAAATTATGTTTAGCTATAATATTTAAGAAAATAGCACCGTTTTTGTCCGTTTTTTGATCGCCCCATTGAGGTGACTTAGCGTTAAAGTCACCAATGAATATAATATTCTTTCTGTTATTTTTATTGTTGGAATTGATAATCTTTTCTATATTATTGCAGAATTTATTAACCCCTTAACCTACAACTACGGGCATAGCCCGTAGTAGATGATCGGACCAAAAGTGAATATTACGGGCATAGCCCGTAATACGATAATCGGGCCAAATATAAATATTAGCGGCGGCGCCCTCCTAAAGGTATAAATATTTGTGGAATATGTGATAAGTAAATCGTAGGTTAAGGGGTTAACTTGATCATCATCGGCATTTGGTGACAGATATCCCGAGCATACAATCCATTTGTCAAAATAAACAGCAATAATGTCAGGAAAGGAATATGCCTTACTATCCCACCCAGAGTGTGAAACGGGAACAATGGCTGCAAGGTTTTTCTTGTACAAATAGGATGAAGTCTTTTTCTTAATAGAAGGAACGTATACCTCTGATACCGATATGATATCTGCACGATAATCGGCAGCGATGCCCCAGAGGAGCTCCTGGGCAAGTCTGCAGTGGTTTGTATTTAGGTGTAAAATCCTCATCTTATTTATTATAATTAGACGATTATGTAATTATATAAAAGTTTGTATATATATTAGTATTAAGCTACGAGCGGTGTAAATAGGATATAACTGTTTAGATATGTAAAAATATAACTATAAAAAGGGTAAATATAAAGGTGTAAGTATAAAGGTGTAATTATAAAGGTTGTAGACGTAATTTGTACGTAGGTTTTTATTTACACAAATTTTTTTTTAAATACAACAAAATAAACTGACCTCCACAAACGCGCGGATGTTAAGAGTGTTACGAACTTGGTTGTCGCGATGAACTCTGCTTTGGTCCCAGTACCTCGGAGTGACGGAGTGGGATTGAGGGTGCGTGCGGACTGGGGTGAGTGAGAGAGATATAGAGAGGGAAAGGAACCGTGAAAGTGCTGTGTGCACGTCTTCCTTCACGGGGACGGTGAGGAGAAACGAAGGAAGGAAATAAAGAAAACCTAGAGGTGCCGTACCGCGTAGGAAGCGTCTTCCTGTAGGGTGGAATAGGAGTTTTGGTACTGAGCCTTCTGCTTGTATAGGTATATCTCTCAGAGTGCCGTGTCACCGCGTGGGTACGTCTTCTCCTTGAGGTGTCACCTAGCAGAAAGGTCTCACCAGACTGACTTGAGGGTGAAAATGGCCCATACTTATACTGATTGGCGAAGCTAGGCCCGTCCAATCAGCGCGCCTGAACAAGGGTTTTTCCCAGCCGCGAGCCCCCGAGTGCCGTGCGCAAAGGCAGCGTATACTAGTCACGTTACAAGGTGTATATATAGGTTTAACTTATGTTAAGTTTTATTGTATCTTCCTCCTAATAAATGCGTCTACTTTTTCTTAAAATATTCTTTATATTGGAGACATTTATATGCCCCTGCAAAGTGTATTCTCTTATCAGCTGGAACACCTTTTTCCCTGCATAATCTGCAATCCATGTTGGCTTTGCAGTTTTCCAGCGAGTGTTCCTCGCTACCACATTTAACGCACAAGATTCTTTTAAATTTACAGTTCGCTCCAATATGGCCAAAGCCGTGACACTTATGGCATCTGGTGATATTTGGTAAGTACGTAAATTTAGGTTTAATAAATCCTATTCTTACATCAACGCTACTATCCAGTTTTTTTTGTAGATCAAAGGCAGTACCACTGTGGCGCTCTGAGAGTCCGCGTAAGTTTTTCGCAGTGCCTTTATTAACAGTTCGTCTTCCTTTTTAATACCCAAAGATAGTCGAAGGTCCGCGGCAATCTCTTCCTTAGTGACAAATGGGTCGAGACCTTTAAATTCAACATTCATCATAGGTTGTTTTATGGACACCGTAGTTTTATTTTCACTGACCTCTAAAATTCTTTTAACTGTTTCAGAGGCATCGAGGTTCTTATCAAGTTCTAGGAGCAGGTGACCACGCATCGTCTTCCTGACTTCCAGTAAGTTAATTTTTCCCCTATCGGGTCCAGTAATTTTCCTTTTTAACTCTAAGTAAATATCTGTATAAGTAAAGGTATCTGTGGCTTCTATTATAATGGCCCTATTTTTAGGGACGTTAATTTGCACGTTAGCTGCGCTTGTCAGATTCCTTTTCCTTACTCTAATATTCCGCCTCCGTGAGTTTCCAGTTGCTGGGTCGTTTTCCCTCCCCATGACATGCCTCCGACGTACTCATAGATTTCTCCCGACACGTCGGTGATTAGCATGCCGCACCTGTTTACCGTCTCCTGGGGGCGAACCCTCCTCTCTTTCGATTTTAACTCGAGCAATAATAGGAAGAGAATTCGACTTCCCCAGTGCAAATAACCAAGTGCGTATACCTCATTACCCTTTACCGAGGCTGTACATAAACAAGCGGATTAGGTCCACGCTTACCAATCCGTCGTACTCCTCACCCGGAGCACCTGTCATCTCAAGCCTTTTATCAATCCTGATCTGAGCATCTCCATGCTCCTGCCCCTTTGCATTATACTTCCTTCCTTCCTGTGTGACTTGTATCAAGCTCAATCTATTCAAATACCCTCCTTCATATATGATGTAGTGTCGCCTGTAGTTAAGCGTTATAATCCAGTACCTACTCCTCTAGATAACCTGCTATTTATTGAACTATCGTTGCTTACTTCCTCCCCCCTCTTTTATTCCTTCTTAGCCTGTGGAATTTTCATCAAATCCCTTCTACCCTTTTTTTTTCCCCTCCGCTCCCTCGCCCCATCCCATCCACATCCCCCCACCACTCCTCCTACCACACTTCCTCCTCTTCATTATCCTCTTCTGTTGGACGTAGTTTATCCACGTCCTTTACAAATTCGGCAATATCTTGTACCCTAAGCCCTTCAAGGTCATCTTCCTCTACAGTCGATTTTCGAAAACGCTTCCTCCTTGGTCCCATAAGTCCAACACATGTCATTAATACATGCTCTGTTGATTCTACTTGTTCTTCCCAGAATTCACACATCTCGTCCTGTCGTTCCCCCATCCTAGTCAGATGATGGTTCAGTACTGCATGCCCTGTAAGAAACCCTGCCACCCTTCTCGTGTCTTCCCTAGCTAAATTCATGAGTTCCTTCCAATTTTTGTATACGGGATTGTTCCCCAGCATTGATTTTGCCATCCGGCACCCCTCTGTCTCTTCCTATGTTCGCTTCCTGCGTTCTAGGCACCATTCCTTGCGACCTCGTCTAAATTCTGCTTCTGCCAAAGGCACCAATCTGTTTGTACCTGTTGGTGGTGTAATATTGGATCCCATATTCGCCAACTTGTCCGCCAGTTCGTTGCCACGTAGGCCCGTGTGTCCTCGTATCCAGTATAATGATACCCTATTACCTCCTTTTTCTAATTCGTTAAGGTTCTCCTTACATCTTCTTACCGTTACAGAGGTCATTATAAGCTTTTGTACACTTAATAATGCCGCCTGACTATCCGTGAAGATATTTATTGTCTCTACGTGCAACATAAGGACAACGACAATCATTCGTTTCTTGTCCCTTACATTCGCTAGTCTCGTTCCAAAATCTCCCGAGCGTTGCGCGCGCGAGCACCGAACTTTACCGTGCGCGCGAGCGCAACGACAATGTCCCTGTTACACGACGCGGTCTATTCCTCGCTACTCCCTCGGTTTCCCTTCTTATTCGTAATATTCTTGGTTCATCATTGACTTGTGAGATATACCTTTCAAGAACCCACTTCCCATCTATAAATATCCCCTCTATTATCCTATGACTCTCTCACGATCTCGAGTTACCTTTCTACACCGTTTATTCATACTGCGCAAATTTATCGGAGACTGTGCGAAAACATGCTACAGATATACATACTTTAGTGTAAATACATGCAACAACTTTACGCTTATTGGATTACACTTTCAGACAGGTATGTCACTTATATTTAAAACAAACTTATATATAAAACCCCCCTTTTTATCAAAAGCACACAACTGTCAATTTGCATAAAATTTCTGACTCATCGTAACGACCACTCTTGTATTATTTATATGCAAATTTCCCCAATGTCCCGTTTCTTTCCTTGTTTTGTTTCAAGGAAATATACATATTACCCCTAATCAAATGTTGTTTCTTCGCCTCGTATATTTACTGCGTATGCATCTCTTGCTACACGTCTCATTATAATATATATGGCGTTCCAAAACTTCCCAATCTATTCATTATTTTATATTGTATACTTTAACTTTGATTTCTTAATTCGAATATCTTATTCGATACCTTGTTGTATTACGTTAACAACATCCTAACCTTACATATTGTCTTCGACAATCCACCGTTACTCCTTATATGTATATATAGAAACACATGAACACCTGGGTGAAATCTGCATATATCAATTATTCCTGTACTCTTCCCATTATTATTTCCTTGCTTATCGTTACATATTATCCCCTTTTGATTAACTTGTTCCTATCCAAAATGTTATGCCGCGTCAATTTACCATATTTTATGCCTATATGTTCTCTTCCATATTACTGATATTTATGAAAAACTAGGATCCTAATAAGATCCTTACACAGCTTGATGCATTTACAATTGTTCATTGTTTTATAATATTTCTGTATTGTTTGTTTATTTGATATTTGGATTCTGTTGGAAATCGGCCCTAAGGTGCGATCGTTGCGCCCTCATACCTGCCAAGGGGGCATAACGTTCTGGTATGCGTGTTCCCCTCTAATACGTATGGCACGCCGTGTCGGTGTGCGAATCGTTCTTCTTGTTCGTGGATCGTCGTCGCGTACAGTGTACGCCGTACACACGTGCCTCGCCGCGTCTTATGTAATATCTAATATATATATCTACTTATTTCATCATCGTATCTAGTCGAGTGTCTCAACAATTATTCTCCTTAGATCGCGGTCCACCTTCCTTTAATCTAACAATTGTTTTATAATATTTCTTTGTGGCACAGTTAAATATTCTTTCTAGATACAATCAACGCATCATTCCATTGCCCTGTTCATTTCCTGCAGAAGCAACGACTGCCCCTTGTTCCAGTCTAATGATCCACACCCTCGAATACGTAAGTTGATTGTATATTTCTAACTCCATATCTTAAACTCTTATCATCAAGCTGCATTATAGTATTACCCTCACACCTTCCATTGTGTCGACACTATCCACTTAAGCATATAATTCTTAGTCATTTACAACAGTGCTTCTTTATCTTTCAATCCCTCTAGATAATAATGCATTCTTACATGTATATACATTTTCTGCAGAGGCAGTTGTTCGGGATTCTGTAGTAGTTTCGTCGGGGGAGAGGATGACAGTTCCCGTTCCACGGCGCGAGCGGATCGCGTCGTACAGCGTGCTGACGCGTGTCACACCATCTATGCGTAACAAGCCTAATCGACTAACTGTCGATGGCTGACAAGTGTAATGTATTCGCGCGTGATGTCGCGCACCGTCTTCCGCTCCCCAACCGCCATGCTTTTGCCGAATCGTGCGAACTTACTTCCTTCTTCTCGTACGGGCTCTCGAACTGGACGGACGCGTGTCTGTTCCTCCGTCGTGCCGTCGAATAAGCCACGCGTGCTCAATTACGTTCCCGATCGGTACTTTTGCGAAGTGGGCTGCTACACTCCACCTACTTCTTGTAACGTTATTTTACATGGCGATCTTTATTTGACACTCCAACCCCTTGTACAGCGTAATGAATGATGCACAGAATTCAATATATCGACAGTAAGATAAGTATATATATATGTATACTATTATTGTCTATATTTTTTAAAATACTATGTTATTTCTTTAATTGATTTCCGATTTATCCCTATCGAGATATTCTGCAATAGTCAGACCAATTCTCACCTCTCCCCTCATTTACTGCAGTAACAACGTATTGCCACTTGTTCCAGCATAATGGGTGGCGATGCCAGACCGTTACCTTCACCCGTGCCATACCTCCCGGTTTATTATTTTTAAATTTACCTCTCGACTCAATGTTTGTGCGATTATCTATATTTATTCTACCCTTATCATTCTAAATTTTCTTTATATACCACGACCTTGGTAGAACATTAGTTAGTTAGTTAGTTAATACTGAGGTCTCCCGAGAGAGGGGAAGTGCGATTTCCCCCCCAAGGCCGCAGCTGTGGCTCAAACGCCGGTAGCTATCTCACAGCCCTGCAATAGGACTGCGGTGGGCGTTACCCGGGGATACTATTTCTCCTGGCTTTCCAACCCGACCAACTTTTTTAGGCCCGGGCCAAATGGAGGCGAGGAAGTACTCGCGCGGGGGGCGGAGAGTCACTAGAATCGTCCCATCCCTACCTAATAAAATTAGCTAAAGGAGTATGGTCGTCGGGGCAACCGATCCTTCGTCTCCAAAGTGAGTACCGGCTCACTCTTTGCTTCACCCACAGACCGAATCTGTACCAGGGGTGGAATCATCGTGCTTGCGTACGTTCCATCATCGAGAGAGAGCTGTATCGCCTATTTCAACCCCCTAGTCAGTTACCTGTCTATGTCCCGAATAATTCAGGAGCCCCCCCTCCTCTGGTTACCCCTCACAAAATTACCACCCCCCTTCAAGGACAAGGAGGAAGTCCCGGGACTCCAACAACGATAGATGGGGAGGCCGTTCTAGCCGACCTCAAGGAGAGACGTGGTCGGGTTCGGCGATCACCTCCCCTGGGAGCCGCGGTGGACCATAAATGAATCCACCGCCATGTGAATCTAGTCTAATCGAAAGCTGGGTGTGTGAGTTTAATAGTGAGGAAAACGGAATAGAGTAGATCGCGCCTTCCCCCACCCTATAGTCTGCAAGGAACGCGACGCGAGACGACAGCCCACCGGACTTTACCGAAATTTCTCCGAAGAGTAAATATCAGCTTCATCAGGGACCACCGCTCGCGTTCTGGGTCGAAGAGCGCACCCGTCCCTAATGCTTGATGCTCTCTCTCTCCGGCGTACCACGGATCGTTGCAACGTGTGCCAAACGCCCCCGTGACCCGTCGACATATGTGTTCCAGGGTCACGGTGTATTACCGGCACGCGAGGCCTATTTTCAGTAGTGCCGTACTATACGTCTGGTGCTCCGTCCGTAATGAACTGCCTTCCAGAATACGATGATCGTGGGGCTCGTTGGGCCGATATCTCGCAAAGTGATGCTCTTCATACTTCCGAGACTCGGTTTACCAGTATACGCCCCACTGTCCGGTATCGCATCGGGGCCCCGTCGCGTGAAAATCTACTCAAATGGCACGACCAGGCCCCCGAAGGGTTATATACCTGGAACGGCCCCCACCCACCTCCCCTCGGGCCCGAAGGAGCGATCCTGATGATTGGTGACTTGTCCCCGTTCCTGAGAGAATCCATCCTTCGATCTTCCCGGTTCAGTGCTTGACCACGCGTCCTTATCCTTTGAACTGAAACATCCGAATAGACTATCGAAGCCGGACACTGCTCTGTTGCTATTACAGATGCGTATCGGTGTACCCCCATCAATGCCAGCAACAGTATCGAATCAACGATGTAACAACTTAACCTAAGGACCACGGGAGGTAGGGGACACGAGGGCTGGAAGGGTCTCGCCCGGGCACGTTGCCTGGGCGAGAACTCCGATAGAGCTGTTGTTCCACCAACACCCGGGCGAACTTGCTCGTCTGGTGAGGGGAATTTCGGCGAAGTTGGGGGCCCGAGCGGCTCAAAGTCCACTCACCGCACCTCCACGTGGGGACCCTGGGCGTCCGCCCCAGTAGTTGGATATCGCTCCTGCGAATACCAATTTGCTGGACGCGGAGGGCGAACGCGGTGAGCTGGCATCTGGACGGAAAACGGCGACGAACTGGGCAAGTCGGGAGATGGGCTGGTCCGCCCACAAGGACTGGGTACTATGGATATGACAACGAATGGAACGAACGTTCACGGTGCAGGGGGCGTCGGATCCCCCAGTACCGGCGCGGAGGGTGGAGGCCGACCGGGCCCCCCCGCGTTGTTATTCATCGACCGGGAGAGCACTGTGGCAGACCGCCAGGCCACAGTGTTCAGCACTGCTACTGGTGAAGAGCCGTCAGGGGCGGGCACATCGACTGCCCCCACGCCTGGTGTGTGGAGTGGCGTCCCTGACGCGGCTCCACGGCCGTCTGGGTCGACGGGTGTGCCGCGGGAGCTGCTGCCGATTGTCCGGCTGCGGCGCCACCCGAGCGGCCTGAGCCGTTGGCCCAGTACGGCGAGCGTCGATGCCTGCGTGACGCTCAGCGACGACGACCTTGAATCGTCGTCGACTGTTTCCGCGGCGTCGATCCGCTCCGACACTGTCGGGCCTGGCGCGGCGACGGGCCGCAAGCGGGGGCGTCCCTCGACGGCGGGGGAATATGGGGGTTTGGCGGAGGCCAAGAGGTGGCTCCTGGAGCTCACGCTCTAGGAGCGTCAGCTTCGGCTGGAGGCAGCGGTGGAGGACGCGACGGTGCTCCCACGACCGGCGCTCAGGTCGTGTAAGCCGCTGCCCTCAGAGGCCGAGCTTGCCGCAGAGATGCGGCAGGCTCCCACGGCGGACCTGGGGGCGGTGATT